CGGACCCGCGCTCCACCGGATGGCCTGAAGCACGGGTGGAAGGGAGCTCGCCTGCCACCCATCCCCTACCACCAGGCCAGAGCTCTTGACCCAGTTGACCCGGGCAGAGGAAGCTGCCGAATAGATGGTGTGGGTGGAGGCTTGCCAGACCAAGTCGCCCGGGTCCTGGACCACAAGGAGCACGTTGTCGGTGTACGCCAACAGGACCAGCTGCAGCTCCGGCTCCCGCAGCACCAACTCTGTCAACCTCCTACGGAGGAGACAGAGGAAGGGCTTGATTGCCAGAGCGTACAGTTGGCCCGAGTTCTTTCCCCTTGATAGCTTAATATCTTTGTTTACATAATACATAAAAATGGACCTTCCTTGTCTTTGCCTGAAGACTGGGCTGGACAGAGAATCAAATACACATTCCGTTGTCTAAGGCAGACCTGCTTACCAACTCTCCCTGACATGCCTGGTTTAAACACATTTTGGTCATAATTCCAGCTTATATCTATAACTATTGTGATGGGACAAGGCCAGATGGCTACAGTAAAGTAGTGAGGAACAGGTATGTTAGCCCCAGGCTAAACAAATCCCTGGTGCCATGGTAACCAAATGGCAGTTGCTCCAGGTTAATCAAGACACCTGGGGCCAATTAAGATCCTTCTAGAACGCAGGAGAGACAGCTAGATTGATTGGGACACCTGAAGCCAATCAAGGACTGGTTGGAACTAGTTAAAAGCCTCCCAGTTAGTCAGTGCGGGGTGGGTGTCAGGAGCCATAGGACAGAGCTGTGCTGTTGGAGGAACGAAGTAGTACGAATCCATATCAGGTGCAAGGAAGGATACCCTGAGGTAATTGTGAAGAAGATATTGAGTGGAGGGCTGCTGTGGGGAAGTAGCCCAGGGAATTGTACACGTCCTATTTCCAAAAAGTCAGCTTCCATAGCTGCTAATTTTAGGATCCCTGGGCTGGATGCCGGAGTAGAGGGTGGGCCCGGGCTCCCCCCTCCCCTCCCTGATTAATCACTGATACTGGGAGACAACAGAGACTGTGCGAGGGAGGGTTGTTTCTCCTCACCTCCCTTTCTGGCTTATGATGAAAATGGCTCAGTAGACTGTGACCCTGGCCTCTAGAGAGAGAAGAGTTATGTAGAGGGTCACAGTGAGCCTCTGAGGCTAGCAAAATCCGTCAAGAAACGCAGGACCCATGGAGTCAAGGACAGAACTTTGTCACACTATTAATATATACATCATGATCAGCAAGTTATGATTTTTCAAATGATACCTCACGAGGCATATTTTGTACAAAGATTATTACAACAGTGTGTGTAGGGAGTGAATGCAGGGGTACTTAGGGTCAGAGCTAGCACACTCATCAGCTTTAATGATTGCCCATAGACACACTTGATGGCAGCCATTAACACCTTGTAGCATAACACCTGCCTTTTAATGCTACATCTCTGGCTGAACTTCCCCAGCTCTGCATCTCTTAGCCCCGGATTTTGGTGTTGGATCTTTAGCTGAACCCTCTCGGATCCTGCAGCACAGCTCTGGATCTCCAGCTGGCCGCACTGGATTATGGTCCTGCAACTGGAATTTGGCCCTCCACCTCTCATTCAGCCTCAAGGAATCAACAGCTCTTAAATTCTCACAAGAGCTAAGGTATGAGAGAACTCCTTGTTTACAGCATTACTTCTTGGGATGGGAGGTAGTGAACCCTAATGATCAGTCAAGTGGAACTTTTTAAGAGTGGAGACAGGGAGAGATACAGGTTCAACATTGTGCATGGATTTTAGTCTCTTAACTTCCTGTAATGTTGGCTCGGTGCTTGTGCAGTGCTTTGAAAATTGCAGGTTAAATATTTGAAATTCCAACCAAACAGGATTCTTAATCAAGCTTAAACCTTTTAATAGCCCATAGTAATTATACTTTGGGTGATGCAGCTGGATCCTGCCCTGTTCTGACCCTAGAATGAAAACTCAGCCTCAGAGTATTTGCCAATAAAATGAAACTTTACCCTGCCCCAAGCCTTTTGGGTATTTGTACAGCTTTCACAGTGTTTTGGAAATGTCTGATGTACAAGAGCATAATATATCTCATGCTGAATCTTGGATGGAATGTATAATCTAGGCAGATGGATCTATCTCTCTGTCTCCCTCCTCCCCCCGCCCCCCCGCCCAGATAGTGCAGGAAGAAGGTTTGCTACATTTAAGGAACAAATTGTACAGTTAGGCAGATAATTATATACTTTAACTCTTTTCCGCTATAGTATGACAGTGTTCAGCTTGATTTCTTCCTCACTTACCCCTTGGGGATGCTCTCTGTTCTTGGAGAGTGAGCACTACTTGAAGCGTCTTTCCATGTAAGAAAAATGCCACTAACCATGAAAGTAGTTGCTTTGTTTAGCCCCATATGATGGACATTTCAGGATGAATTCTACTTTTGGGGCTTTGTGTGAGTAAACCGTTACATAACCAGACATAACTGCTTTAAAGGCTTCTTTGTTAATTTCAGGGTTGGTGATGACGCATGTAACTTAATAGATCATTTCAGGAACAAATTATAACAACCCCATAGGAGACTAGCTTTAAAGTGCCATTATTTTAGACTGCTCCATTTCTGAAACCCTGGGTGGTAAATAAATCAATGGATTATAAAGGAAGTCATGATCTTCGAGTAGTGTTGTATGAGGTGGTTAACAAGAAAGAAAACATTGTGACCGGAAAACACATTCATGCATCATGGAGTAATTAGTGTCCCCAGGTAATTATAATCTCCATCTCAGTCTTACCTAATGCCCTCATAGTTTATTATTATTTATTTATCCGTTTATAATAGGCGGGCAGTGTTTGTTTGACATAGTTCATCTTGTGATTAGCTGTTGATTCTGCTTGGAAAGGATTAAGTGGATTTTGTTGATTCATTGGGGCAGATAGAACATTACCTCACCTGGTTATGAGGGAGATGGGAGAGACTTTCTGGGGAAAGGAGATCTTGTGTGAGTGCTAAGCCATCTCAAGCAGGACTGAGCAAATAACAGTTTTTTGGTTTGGCAAATATTTCTGGTTCCCTGGAAAATTCATTGTTCAGTTAATTTACTTTTTGCTGAAAAAAAAAATCTGCCAGCTCTAGTCCTGAGGTAGAAAGACCTGAGGAGAATATTTAATCTAACTATCTTTCTTAGGGATGGTCTACATGGAGATTCAATGTGTGTGACAAGCTGGGGTGTAAACCTAGAGTGCACTAATCACTGTGTGGACCTTGCCGCTGTGCACTAAAAGTGTCATAAAGTGCTGCAAACTGTCAGTTTTCAGGATATGGGCACTCTTCTATTAGGAAAGAGATGGAGACTAACGACTCATTTGACAAACTTAAGGCCAGCCATCTCTAATTGCTAATATTGCTAAAAGAACAGGAATACTTGTGGCATCTTAGAGACTAACAAATTTATTAGAGCATAAGCTTTCGTGGACTACAGCCCACTTCTTCGGATGCATATAGAGTGGAATAAATATTGAGGAGATATATATATACACGAATACAGAGAGCATAAAGAGGTGGGAGTTGTCTTACCAACTCTGAGAGGCCAATTAAGTAAGGGGGGGGGGAACTTTTGAA